ATTTTCACTGTAGTTTTACACTGGGTGTTAGTCCGCCGTGCGTGCACGGCGTGAGCCAAACTAGTAAATATTATATAAAAACCACAAATATACAAAGAGCAGTGGCCAGTTGAATACAAGCAGCACCAGCTGAATACAGACAGCCAACAATTGAAAAAGTGGGAGGCCAAGTCAAAGATCGCCTAGAACCGACCCCAATGAGGTAATACTCAGGAATATTAAAAAACACAAAACAAACAACACAAAGACCCCAACAAGGTAATACCCGAGTGTCAGAATAATATGGTGACACTCGGGCTCACAGAAGCCAACAGCCCAAACGTAAAATACAATACTAACCTAGAAACACAAGACTAAATAAACTCAACAAACACATATAAAATAGCTAGAAGCAAAACATACAGCCCTCCCTCAAAAAGGACAACCGAAAACGTTAGCAGACAAGGCCGACTCCGAGGAGAGATCCTAAGCACAGGAACCGCGCCCGCCACTGCCTAATGCTTAGCAAAGACGAAGCTTTTACCTTCGAACCAGTCTAAAAAAGCTGACCCACTCTCCAGCCGCGGTGCACGGGCATGCACTCGGTGGTTTGACTTGGACTCGGTGCACGGGCACGCACTCGGTGGTTAGGCTCCAACGGTCGGACGAGAGTCGAGCACGTGCGCAAGACGACAATACGCATTACGAATTAACGATACGACGACTAAAAATTATTCAGACGGTACTAGGGTTTATACATTTATAATCGAATCTGAAAAAATACCCAATTATTGGAACCAGATAAAACTAGGGTTTCGATTCTAAAAAATCCTAACTTATTTAAGGCCGATAATTAATATATATTCTATGTGATTTATATGGATTTTATAAATCAACAACTGCAGCTAAAATCATATCCGACTAATTTTCTAAAATATCGCATTTCTCGGCTAAATTCCCAATCTTATAACTAAGTCAAAGTGTATCCAAAATTTATAAAATTTGAATCGTAGCATCCTCAATATACTAATAGTCAATGGTCAACATATCGAGTCTAAAGTCAACTCCTAATCCATTCAACTCAAAATCGCTTCAACCGGTCAATTCATTCAAACGACTCATTCGTATACCAAACGAACTCCAAATCTTATCAAATTTGCACCTAAGCCTCAAGACAATTTATTATGATTTACCAAATTTAAATTATCATTTTATCACTTGTATATTAAGAGATCGAAAAATCGATTGTTCCAAGCTCGATAATTCAAGTTTCACTCAAAGTATCAATTTCACATTTTATAATTCACTAATAATCACATCTAAGCTCATGGAGGAAGATTCGAGTCATTTTACCTTAAAACGAGCTCGAATTAGAAAAATCGAAAGTAGATCGGCCTAGAAAACATGTCAATGACGCAAATCGGACCGGGACTACGGTGGTGGGCTGCGGATCCGGGGCTGAGGGTGCTGTCATGGGCTAGTTCACGAACATGGAGGCTCGCTGGTGGTTAGAACCGAGTTGCGGTTGCGGAGGAGCTGTTTTCCGGTTGCTACAGTGACGTGGAGGTGTTGAGGCGGGCTGTGGAGCTGCTCCGGCGGAGATGGAGGCTCAAAGACGAGCTGACCACCGTGAAGGAAGCTACTAATGGCGGAGGCCGACTCGTCAGCGAGGAGGAGCTGCAAACTGGAGCTGAAACGACTTGGGAGCTTGAACGCGCTGAGGTCGCGGTTTTTCGGCGGGTTGCTGTAAATGACAGCGACGGAGGTTGAGCTCGTGGATGGATGTCGTGGACTGGAGCGGCTGGGACCGGAGGTGAGCTGGCTGCGAGCTGGGAGGCTGGAACGGCGCGTGTAGAGGAGCACCAGGGTGAAGCTCGCGATTTCCGGCGATTTGGTCGCGAGCTCAAGCTCTGAGAAGGAGCACGGACGGGGATGAGGTGTGGAGGCTCGTTTTGGTCGTGGCTCGCCGGAGCTGGTTCACCGGTGACAGGAACTTGCCGAAAAATAGGCACGGTGGCCAAATTTGGTGAAGATGGTGAGCTTATGGTTGAAGAAGAAGATGAAGAGTGGGTTTCTTTTGAATGTAGGTAGAAGATGAATGAATAGTGACAAAAAATAGGATAAGGTTTCCTCTTCTTTTGTGGCCAGTAGTGAGCTTCGGGGATTCTATTTATAGATGAGAGAAAACTAGGGTTTCTTGAGTATAGTGGGCTTTAGAATCGGGCTTGACAAATTAATAAAGTCGAGCTTAATAACCGGGCTAGTAAATATCGAACATTGACTTATGAATTAAATGCTCGGCTAAATAAAATTAATCGAACTAGGACTAATTAAATTAGTCGGTCGAAATAATTACTAATAATGGGCTCGAATTAAAACTGACTATATGCTCGATTTTAAAATAAACTAGAATAAAATTGGACTTGGGCTCAATTTAACTCAAATGGGCCGGCTAGAATAATTGGGTCCGGTCAAAATTGATTGGGCTCGAATAATTAAATTATTCAGCTTTGATTCGCTTACCAAAAGCTCGATTAATCTAAGGCTCGGGTTTTAAAAATATAACCGATACTTGGGCTAAATGAATTCGACTTTAATAATTAAAATAGAATAAATTCTCCATGGCTTAGATTTTATTAATAATTATTCAATTTAATGCCAATAAATATAATAAATGCATCAACTTAGGAAACTGACTATTTATGGAAATAAAGTCGAGCTCCATAAATAGTAACTAATATTCTGGGAGTTACAATATATATGCCTCACTCAGTTTCTTGCGTGAATATGGAATGAGTTCGCCCAAATTGGTTTATCATCATGTATCACATAAGCTTGCCTATCGTCTATTCATACTCTAAAACAATCAAAGATCATGAATTGTAAATCAAGAGGACTTCCGGGTTTGCAGTGAATGCATTTAGCACAAGGGAAAGACGAAAATAAAGATAAATGGCTCAAATAAAAAAATCAAAATCTCGAGCATATAAACTACTCGAATGCCTCACCACTTATCCAAATTCATCATGAAACCAATCGTTCCCATCAAAAACTCCATACAACACTCACACATGCTCAAGCTTAAATGCAAATTAAGTGCTCAACTTTCTTTTTTTATTATTTTTATTATTTTTTAGGGAGTTTGCTTTTTCTAACAAGACTGATACGTAAGGACAACATTCTCTAGGTTTAAACATTGGAGGTCATTCAAGTTTCCTAGAGTGGTTCCCCAATACTCATTACTCGTGAAAAAGATCCACAAGTAAGCGGAGTATAATCCTTCCATCCGTCTTGCGAGTTCCCAATTTTTTTTTTATTTCTTTTAGTCAAGCACTCAAGTGAAACTCAAACATGTTCTAAACCTTCTCCACACACAATTTAGAAAGCTCCATCATTATATCAAACATACTGTCAAGTCTCAAATAATTCAAGCAAAACGGTTGACAAGGATTATGGTTCAGGCTCAACGGGCTACTAATGAATATATAACTGTAAGGGTCAATGAAAAAGGCTAAAACGAGCAATGTCAAAGAAATGCCTCAATCATCTTCACAATTCACTACTTCAATTACTTCATTTCAAAACAGACTAAAAGCAAATTCTGATCAATAATGAATCTAACCAATATCTCTCATAGAAAACAATATAAGGCTCAAACCTCACAAGGCAAATAATGTCCAACAAACGAAACATCAAGCTCATCAAAGTATACTGGTCATGATCATCATCACGTCTCCTCAACATCATCAACAATTATCAAAAAATCTTAAAATTACCATGA